AAGTATTTTAGACAGCTCACAACTGATGTTCGCGCAAGTTTGGTTTCAAAAGTAGTGAATCAGTACTGGGAAAATTCCCAGGTCAAGGAAAGAATTGATCTTGAGGGAGTAACTACTTATAATCTGCTTCTGGACAAGAGACTGCTGTATGAAGAAGAGCTTGAATTTGATAACATAGGGACAGTAGAGCATTGTAAATCCACTGGAATATATAAGGATGTGATACCTAAGGGTGATAAGATGGTCTCTTGGGTTCTTGACTGCCCAGAAATCGACCAAGAACTTGTGTCTCAAATTGCAAAGGGCATACACAATCGTGAGATATGGTTAGCTGCTTTGAGAATAGTACGTCGCATGGTTAGGAAACGTGAAAGCTATTATGGTAAGCGACACAAGATGCTAACCTATGAGAAGATGTTGGGTGAGGTTAAAACCATTTGTGATAGAGAAGACACTAGGAAGACTGACTCTCAGCAGAGCACATATGAGTTTGTTTTGCGAATGAAGTATGAGGAGCTTGTAGTAAAGCAAGAAGATGGTGATACCAAATGTTTTCTGAATGTTGTAAGAGATGTTCTTGAAAGACAAAGCTCTCCCAGATTTGAAGTATTAGAAGACAGAGAAATTAAGGAGTGGATATCCAGACTCTCTACAACTGTTGATAATGATAACGTTAGAATAACTCTGTCGGAGCTAAGGAAATCGCTGAAAGAGAAGGTATTCTTCTTCCTCTTATTTCTTTTTATTCATGTCAACTAGTTTTGATCTGTGATGAGGAGTTTTTTTTTTTTGCAGTTCCATTTGATTGATTCAAAGATTCTGCTAAACGAATCTACATTCAAAAAGCTAATAGATGTATTCCCAAAGCTATCGGTAGTTGACTATCGCTTGGTGTACCTTCCATTCGTGAAGAAGTTCTTACAGGTTTGTCAACTTGTGGATTTCATAAATCAAAGACCAGTCACTTGGAGTTGCACTGGTTTTTCAACTTTAATATATAATGCATGTGTTCTCTCGCAGGATAAACTGATGATAATGATGAACACAACTATCAGACCATCACCAGTTGTTTAACGAAGCGTCATCTTTAAACTGAGGTGTGAAAGACCTAATGAATCCTGTCACCGGTTTTGTTTTGCTGTTGCTTTTCGTGAGATAAAAGTGAGTTATGTTTTTGATGCAGGGATATAGTTCTGGAAGATCATTCTTTTGCAGATGGAGAAAAACTTTTGTCTAGGGAGGAGTTGTTTAGAAAACGGTCTTTTATGTTCTTGTTTGCAAAATTGGAAAAACCTTGGATCCGATAGCCAACTGGTCTGAATACTTTTGTAGTTTAGGGATCAGATGCATATATGTGTCAAGGGAGGGAGATTGAGAAAAATGGAACATAAAAACAATGAAATGCACTTGTTGTTCTTGGAAATAAATTGATCAGGGAAGTGGTGAAAACACACAATTTTCTCGAGTTGTTATGAAAATGTTTTTCTCCATTCCCAGAACCAGAAGGTTCCAAGTTCCAACTAAAAACATCTCAGTTCTGGTGTTTAGTGTTCATCTAGGTGAGATCTTAGCGGTCGATGGTTGACGTCCAAAAACACACAGATCTAAGGACATCGAAAGCCCATTTGACCGCCATTACAAAACAAAACCTCGGCGGCTCGGCCCAATCTACGTTGAATAAAAGTTCAAAGCTGACGTGGCAAACACTGATTCGCTATACTATCGTGTCGAGCATATTTTTTCTCGGTTCGCCACGATTTGGCAATACCCTGCAGAAAAATAAATAAATAAAAAGAAAAATAAATGGAAAAAGGATTATAAGGTGACCTTCGTCTTTGGTTGACCATCGAAACTACAACGCTCTTTCTCCGTGGGAAAGGGGAAGCAAAATAATAATTATCGAAGCCATTGATTTCGGAGCTGATCGGTCTCTATCTCTCTCTCTCTACTCCACATATCGTAAGCTTCTCCTCCTTCTTTTATCTTCTTCCATTTTTCCTCAATGGCTTTCTCCTTGATATGTTTTCGTTTCTCCCTATCGTGATTTGTTGTGAGTCTCTTCGCCATCTAAATTCAGATCTATGTGATTGTTGATCTATGTTCTTAGATCTGTTTCTCCTTTTCTAGCTACCTATGTCTCGAATTTATATGTATGTGTACGGTCTGGATCGGACAAGTTCTGATAGATCTGGTTTATTTTAGATCCACTGACTCAATCATTTGATTTGAGCTAGCTTACGAAATTGTTCAGATTCATTGATTTGAGCTAGCTTTGCCTAGCTACGAATACTCTGGATTTGTGAATTCTGCAGCTAGATTATGAATGTGGTGCATGCGTTTCGATTTGTGTAATTATCTGTGTTTTATACAGAATCTTAGTTGGGTTTGTAATTTGTGATTTTTACAGAAGCGGATAAACTTGATCGGGTACTAGAATGGGAGGAGGATTTAGAGTTTTGCATTTGGTGAGGCCATTCTTGGCTTTTCTGCCTGAGGTTCAGAGTGCTGACAGGAAGGTGCCATTCAGAGAGAAGGTTATCTACACTGTCATCTCTCTCTTCATCTTTCTTGTCTGCAGTCAACTTCCTCTCTATGGAATTCATTCCACAACGGGTGCCGATCCTTTCTACTGGATGCGTGTCATTCTTGCCTCCAACCGTGGTACTGTCATGGAGCTCGGTATTACTCCTATTGTCACATCTGGACTTGTGATGCAACTCTTGGCTGGTTCTAAGATTATTGAGGTTGACAACAATGTTCGTGAGGATCGTGCCCTCTTGTAAGTGTTGCTGTTTCTCAGTATTAATTATGGGCAGTACATTACATGTTCTGCCGAACTGTTTCTATGTTTGGTTTGAATTGACTATGGCGTTAATTAGTAATTTTACAAAAATCTGTATTCGATTGAGCTGCTTTTGAAAAACTCTAATGCTGTGGTCTTGTGAGTTCTTATTCTGTGTTGGTACTTCTTTTATAGGAACGGTGCTCAGAAGCTTCTTGGTATTCTGATTGCCATCGGTGAGGCGGTTGCATATGTTCTTTCTGGAATGTATGGACCCGTTGGACAGCTTGGTGTTGGAAATGCCATTCTGATCATCCTCCAGCTTTTCTTTGCTGGAATCATTGTTATCTGCCTTGATGAGCTCCTTCAGAAGGGATATGGTCTTGGCTCAGGAATCTCCCTTTTCATTGCCACCAACATCTGGTAGGTCAACTTCTTCCTCACTTCTTAAAACCATTCCTTGCAGTTTTGGATTCCTAGGACAAGATCCTTTTTGGTAAATTGAATTCATAATAGTTTATATTGATGATATGCAGTGAAAGCATTATCTGGAAGGCATTTAGCCCAACTACCATCAACACCGGGCGTGGAGCTGAGTTTGAAGGTGCTGTTATTGCACTGTTCCATATGCTGATAACCAAGTCCAACAAGGTTGCGGCTCTCCGCCAAGCTTTCTACCGGCAAAACCTTCCAAATGTTACCAACTTGCTTGCCACAGTCTTGATCTTCCTGATTGTGATCTACTTCCAAGGTTTCCGTGTGGTTTTGCCTGTGAGATCAAAGAATGCCCGTGGACAACAGGGTTCTTACCCAATCAAGCTGTTCTACACCTCTAACATGCCCATCATCCTCCAATCTGCTCTTGTCTCAAATCTTTACTTCATCTCTCAGGTACATAATCTTCTGCTTCACTGTACGGGACTTATCTCCACAATGATATATTGTTAACATTAAATCTCCTCCTTGTGGTCAACAGCTTCTGTACAGGAAGTTCAGCGGAAATTTCTTTGTAAACCTTTTGGGACAGTGGAAGGAATCCGAGTACAGTGGGCAGTCCATTCCTGTTAGTGGTCTGGCTTACCTCATCACAGCTCCAGCAAGGTAATGCAGTCTCTTTCAAGATTCAATTTAGTCAATCAAATTGGTATGCATGAGCCGGTTTGATTAATATATATTACTATGATGTTTGCAGCTTCTCGGATATGGCGGCTCACCCATTCCATGCACTGTTCTACATTGTGTTCATGCTCACTGCTTGTGCTCTTTTCTCAAAGACATGGATTGAAGTCTCTGGATCTTCTGCTAGGGATGTAGCTAAGCAGCTCAAGGTAATAAATCGTAACAGCTCATTGCATAAACTCGAATGTTTGCATGGTGTTAGTCTGTTAGATATCTGACCTGAAAATTATGTGTCACAGGAACAACAAATGGTGATGCCAGGACACAGAGAGTCAAACTTACAGAAGGAACTGAACAGGTATATCCCAACAGCTGCGGCTTTTGGAGGAGTGTGTATCGGTGCACTCACTGTTCTGGCTGATTTCATGGGAGCCATTGGGTCGGGAACTGGAATTCTATTGGCGGTCACGATCATATACCAGTATTTCGAAACCTTTGAGAAGGAAAAAGCCAGTGAGCTTGGCTTCTTCGGGTTCTAAGTTAGCTTAAAGAAGGTGTAAAACTTTGCTGAGGCAAAAAGCAGAGCAGAAGAGGCTTTAGCTTCTGTGCCCACCGCAGACAGACAATTTGTGGTGGCACTTGGGGTAGACTACTGTTTTTTTTGTTGTTCAAATGAAATTTTCTGTTTAGTCGTTTACGTTTTTTTTTGTTACTTTTTAAAAAGTTATGTGATAGACAATTTTCTAATGTAATGTTTCTAGGAATTTCACTTTACTCTTGACCAAATAAACAATTTTACATTTTTGAATTCAAACTGCATTTTATCATTTCTTGGTACCAAACCAAACCAACCAATGTGAAATGTTATTTCGGAGACCGTATGTAGAAAATCTCCAAATTGTAGAACAATATGGTTGTGACACAAATAATATAAAATAGTAACTCAGTAAGTGATCTCAACTACCAGCTAGCTAATGCAGAGGAATGGTGAGTGTGACTAATTGTGTGAGCCGTTACAATGTTACATACTTGCACTTTAACTTGAACATTGATAACAACGAAGACCATTTTTGAGCTTATGCCAAACGCGTTTTACAAACCTTTTCTTCTTCTTCTTCTTCTTCTACACCCGCATATAAATTTGGTTGTTTGATTTGCTTCGATTCGGGCAAAAAAAAAGACGAGCGACACTGGTTTTGTAGCCGCCATCCATCATCAACATGGCCTCAGAGGCGATATTTGCATTATTACGCCGTAGGAGCTTGCCGTCACTGGATGCATTTTTGGCAACAAACATTGATCTCTCCGGCGTCTCTCTCGTTCGAACACTTGCTTCAGTTTCAGCAGAGCTCGTCTCGCGCTTCCGCGGCGTACGTTTCTCCTTCCAAGGCAGAAACTCACGTTCCCTAATTCGGAAGATTGAGATATTAGTCGTCTTGTTCGAATACCTCGCCGATGATTCAGGTTCGGTTTCCCCGACAGCGGTGCTGTGTTATAAGGAGCTTTATCTCTTCCTCTACCGTTCCAAATTACTTCTCCAATACTGTGCTCAATCCAGTAAGCTATGGCTCTTACTGCAAAACCCTTCGCTTTCAGACTTTTTCCATCATTTGAATCGAGATATTTCGACCCTTTTGGATGTCTTCCCGTTCAACAGTCTCAATCTGAGCGACGATGTTAGAGAGCAAATCAAGCTCTTGCATCAGCAATCCTGTAAACTGACATTGTTCGATGATCACAACGATCAACTGCTACGGCAAAGATTCTATTCGTTTCTCGACGCATTTCAGAAGGGTCAGATACCCAATTCTGAAGAACTAAGATCGTTCTTCGTTGAGAAATTGGAGATTAAGGATCCGAAAAGTTGCGGAGACGAAATCGAGTTTCTGGAAGAGCAGATTTTGAATCACGATTGTGATGATTTGGAGCTTACATTGCCTTTGATTAACGGGTTTGTGGCTATCACACGGTATTGCATGTTTTTGTTGTTTGGGTTTGAAGATGGATTGGGGTGGAGCATTAACAACTCTAAGAAACAGAGGAAATGTTTAGTTGCGCAAGAGATTGTGGACACGTTTATGTCTCTACCAAAGGATTTTGTTTGCTCCATCTCTCTTTGTCTGATGAAGGATCCTGTGATTGTTTCCACTGGGCAAACTTATGATCGGAGCTCAATCTTCAGGTGGTTTGAAGAAGGTCGCTCTACTTGTCCTAAAACAGGGCAAAAGCTTGTGGACTCTTCGTGTATTGTTCCTAATCATGCTTTGAGAAACTTGATAATGCGTTGGTGCGCAGCAATGGAGTTTGCAGATTTAGCTAACGAGTCTCCTGCTTGGGTTCTTCAAACAAGAGCTTCAGTGGAAGCAACCAAAGCCACTGTATCCATTCTCATTCAACATCTAGCTGGTCGGTCAGAATTAGCTCAGATAGTGGCGGCACGAGAAATCCGTCTTCTAGCCAAAACAGTTAGGGAAAGAGGTGAACTGATCGCAGAAGCAGGTGCAATCCCACATTTGCGTAGGCTTCTTAAATCCAGAAACGCTGTTGCACAAGAGCATGCTGTTACGGCCATGTTTAATTTGTCTGTATGCGATGAAAACAAAAGCCTGATCATGGAGGAAAATGATTGCCTTGAGCCGATTGTGAGCGTTCTCACCTCGGGTCTTACTTTGGAAGCTAGGGGAAACGCAGCAGCCACATTGTACTGTCTTTCCACAGTACATGGATATAAGAAACGGATAGCAAACGCAGATGGTTGCATCGAATCACTTGCATTACTGTCGCAAAGTGGAAAGCCGAGAGGGAGAAAAGATGCTATCAACGCTTTAAGTGCCATATGGAGAGATCCGGATAATTACAGCCAGATGGTAAACTTGGGAGGAGTGTTCGCTCTCGTGGGAGCTTTGGCGGACGAAGACGAAGCTGTCATGGAGAGGGCGGTAGTAGTGTTGGCTGGAGTAGCGAATCATTCTTTAGGAGCAGAGACTATAGGGAGAGAGGAATCAGCTGTGCCGAGGCTCATTGAGTTGATGAGATGTGGAACACCAAGAGGCAAAGAAAATGCGGTTGCTACATTGTTACATCTCTGCATAAACGGTGGAGCAGCTGTGGTGGAGAAGGTGGTTAGAGCACCGGCTCTTACTGGTTTAACCCAAAAGCTTTTGCTCACGGGTAGAGAGCGAGCTAAGCGGAAAGCGACTTCACTCCTCGCTTTAATTTTTAGGGAGTGCGAAAACACAGCAATGATGGGGTCTGGTAGTAGAGAAGGGAGTTTTAGAACCCATGTCTCTCCACCCATCTCTATTCCCGTATCTGTGTTGTGATCTCATTCTCATATACAGTATATATATATATATATATATATATATGTACATAATAAGCCTTAGATAAATAATGGTAAGGGGAAAGAAATAAGAGTTCTGTTAAGGATATTTTATCTAATCCAATAATGAAAGTAATCGAGACAAATTCAATCAAATTCTTTTGTTTTCAGGTTTAACCACATGAGAATTGAAACCATAGAAAGTTGAAAACTACTACAACATCCTATGAAAACAAGAAGCAGATGAACAAAGATAGTGTGAATCTAAACATGAGTTGAAGGAACTGTGATAATGGCACATATACAAACAAGTTGCAGCCTCAAGAAGACTAAGGAGTAGGGAGTGACAAAACAAAGCTAAATAATGAAAAAGCATGACTGATGAAAATGCAGAAACTAATTTACCTAATAAGATACTAACTAAATCCCCCCAATAAGGATGCTCTTAGTCAAGTTAAGAGCATCACAAAAACGAACTAGTGTACTTGATCTCTAAAACATTCATACTCAATTAACTAATTTTAGATTTAGAGGTGGAATAGAATAGGCAAGAAAAAATGACCAATATGACATAAAATAAACTGGGTCCTAATTGCAACGGTAGGAAACATAGAAACCACAAACCTTAATCAAATTTATCGGAGGACCTAATTGCAAATTAGACAACAGAGGATCTCTCGAAAAACCTTAAACCCTACTCAATTCGGCGCGAGGGCTTCTCTTCAGTTACTTGTCTCTCTCTCTGTACTAGTGTGCAGTATTGTAAAGTAAGATTCTCGCTCGGGTAGTGATGGAGATCGATTTGGGAGCTAACGCGTTCGGTATCGACTTCCATCCATCGCAAAATCTAGTTGCTGCTGGTCTCATCGATGGCCACTTGCATCTGTAAATTCCTTACAAAAGCCCCTTCTCTTTGCTCTTTCTTCGTTTTCCAATTCACAACAATCAGAGAGCAATCATGTAAAACCTCCAATTTTTTCTTTTGCAGATACCGATACGACTCAGATTCTTCACTTGTCAGGTATTATAAAAAAAAAAAACTCTTTTTATCTGCAAAGTTTGTCTCTTTCGTTGTGGGTTAGTCTAAAGAGAATCGTTAAATTTGTGTAGGGAACGTAAAGTTCGTGCCCATAAGGAGTCCTGCAGAGCTGTTCGGTTCATTGATGATGGCCAAAGTTTGTTTCTTTAAGCTTCGAACTATTTGAGCTTCAATCCGAACAATTTTAGTTTTGCTTTAAAGTATGTTTTCTTTGTTGGGTTGTAGGAATTGTCACTGCTTCAGCTGATTGTTCCATTCTAGCTACTGATGTAGAGACTGGTGCTAGTGTTGCACATCTTGAGAATGCTCACGAGTATGCAGTTCCCATTTTCTTTTTCTTTTTTGAACTTTTATATTTGACACACTTTTAGCTGAGTGGTAATAGTGTATTGATTGGGAATATATTGCATTGTTTCTTCGAGGGATGCGGTTAATACTTTGATAAATATTACTGAGACAACAATCGCATCAGGAGATGATAAAGGCTGTGTTAAGGTGTGTACATTCTCTTTCGGCTTTATTCATTGAAATATTGAGCAACTATAATGCAACTTATTTAGATGAATAAAGAATTAGGATCTGTGCGCTTTACAATATTTAGATGTTGTGTGTGTGTATGTATCCTTTGCCTCAAGAATTTGATATTCCCTGGAAGGCTTCTTTTTCAATTTTCTTTTGAGGCATTACTCTTTCGGGGTTAAATGATCTGCTTGATTTATGATTATTTATGTTCATCTCCTCAGGTTTGGGATACGAGACAGCGCTCTTGCTCTCATGAGTTTAATACACACGAGGATTACATTTCTGACATGACCTTTGAATCTGATTCGATGAAACTAGTGGCAACAAGGTTTGGATTTTTGTGTCATCTGAACCAATAAAGCTAGTGTCTTTTTAAGTTTTTATAGAAATTCCGCTAATTTCTTTTAATTTGGGTTCTTTGGCATTGTCCAGTGGAGACGGGACTCTGTCTGTCTGTAATCTCAGAACTAGTAAGGTCCAATCTCAGTCTGAATTTTCTGAAGACGAACTACTTTCTGTTGTTATAATGAAGGTAATTCCATTATGTTCCTGTGTGATTATTCACTAATTTATCTATCAAACAAAAAAGTATTTGTACCAGGATGTGCCATCCCAAGCTCTTCTCTCACCAATCTCCACATTGTTTCCACTTATATAATTGATTTGTAATTATCGTTTGCTCTTACCTGATTGATTTCAGAATGGCCGTAAAGTTATCTGTGGAACTCAGAATGGTACTCTCTTGTTGTATTCATGGGGATTTTTCAAGGATTGCAGGTAAGTCATATATCTCTAACATTACCTATGATGAAGATTTAAGATTTTGTAATTTTTGTATTGATACTTAAGTGTCTGAAACTATTTTCCTATTAACAGTGATAGGTTTGTTGATCTATCTCCAAATTCAGTTGATACCCTATTGAAGGTGAGATGATGCACTTTTGTTAAGCATATGGTTACTGTAACATTAGGGGGCCATTGACTAATGGAAGCCTTGTGGATTTATCCTGTAGCTCGATGAAGACAGAGTTATCACTGGATGTGATAATGGAATACTTAGGTAACAGAAAAAACTCTGCTTTCATGGGAGAAAGCTCCTTACTGTTTATCTTCACTTTACTCAGTCAAGTTTTATATACATTTTATTATGTAGCCTCGTTGGAATACTGCCCAACAGAATCATACAGCCTATTGGGTCTCACGACTTCCCTATTGAAGATCTAGGTATTTAAAATTCTGTTCTCTATGTCTGAGAACATTTTATCTTTGTTGACTATTGTACTTTGTCTTGAACGAACCTCTAAATTTTTTCCTGTTAAAAATCTGTCTTACAGCTCTCTCACATGATAGCAAGTTTCTCGCTAGCACAGCTCATGACAGTATGCTGAAGGTATCATCTTTTCTCTCTGAACTCAATCCCTTACGGTTATGATTTTGACATGTTTGTGTTCTTGGTGATGAAGTTGTGGAACTTAGAAGAGATTCTAGAAGGTTCGAATGGCAACTCCGGGAACGCATCTGGAGCTGCAGAAGACAGTGACAGCGACGAGGATGGGATGGACCTTGACACTGATCGTCCCAAGTCTTCGAAAGGTAGAGAAAAACCTGCAAAACTTCTTAGAACATTTGAAATATTTCTTTGTGATGATGACTAAAACATGATCTGATCTTGAGTATCTTTTTTGGCGTTTACAGGCACCAAGAGGAAAACAAAAAGTAAATCGACTGCTCTGGACTCCACAAATAATTTCTTCGCGGACTTGTAGATTTTGTTTTTTATTCAGTCTGGGAAGTATATCAGTTTCATACTTGAATTGTCTACTTAATTCTGACAGTTTTGTCAACTGGCTTCATATTGTCTTAGTGATGTCTTTACCATTCAGTAAAAAAAAAACAAATAATTTTTGTTGTTTCTGAATATAAACATCTAAAAATACCAGATTAATTAGGATTCAAATCTACTTAATAGAAAAGAGTTTGGTTGGGCTTTGATCTTAGTTTAGGCTGTACCAACATCATCTTTTTCCTAATACTCGGAACTCTGTACATCATACTGGTTTAAGGTCTAGCCTTTATCCCATTCAGATAATATTCAAGATTCTAAAAATGAAAGTGACTGCCAAAATTCATAAGAACAAAACAAAACGCATCTTGTACACACAGAGCTAACGGGTAAGAGATTTTATGTTCTAGAGTTTACGTATACAGCTTTCCTCAATGAATTTGATAAGCAAGCCTGAAACAACCGACTTTTCTGAAACTATATTCAAGTAATGCTTTTCTTTTTTCCTGACTTTTTTAAGCGATTGCAGATTTGATTGTCTCAGTTTCTGCAGGACGCCACCATGACTTTTGAATCGAGAGCAAACCTTCATTGTCTTTGGACTGCGTCATTTTAACGTTCCATTTCATGGATTTCACCATTTTCTCAACTTCTCCTATTGTTTCCATGTCGTCCCTTATGATGAAAGTTCCCTGTGGCCGAAGAATTCGATCGATTTCAGCCATTACCGACACCAAATTGCACCTGTAATGCAAAAGGATACATGGATATGGTTCATCAAATCAGATCATCAAGTTCTGCATTGGAGAATAAGAAGAATCGGTGATATTATCTACCTTTTCCTCAGGGTAGAGAAAAGATGATCGGCATGGAGAAGGTCATAAGTTCTAGGATAAGTGTTGAATGATTCACACCAGTCATGATAGATTCCAAATAAACCACGTTCATATATGATCGGCAGTGTATCTGGGGCGTCTACAGGAACTACGTTCATCACCCATAATTTCAGATCCTTCAATGCAGCAGCAAATCCTCCATAGACTGCTCTCATGTCCATGACATTTCTCACATTCGACCAATCGATTTCCATGCCATTTAGGTATGACTTTGAGACAATAGTTTTCCATTTCTCTTGGTCTGCTGTGAAGTCCTCTTGAGCAGGTTTTCCATAAACACCTTCCTTTGAATCCAACCACTCCGGCGCAGTCTCAAGCCTATCTGGCCACATGTTTGGCCACACTGCTCCACGCTTCGATGAATCTTCTGTCACTTTATGCATACATGCCTCAAGTGGAACATTCCTAAACCATAAATCAACATATGAGCATCAGATTGCATTGGTTTACTAGTACATTAACGCAGGGTTAAGGTCACTCTACCAGGCTGCATTTTGATCATCGGAATCCTTGCAGAGAGGTGGATCATTTTGAGGTCTTTTGTTGTAACATTTATTTGAAGTTGGCTTTTGGTATATGGCAGCACCAACCTCATTCAATTTGTCTTTCTTAATTGTCACCAGCTTCCAGCACATTGCCTTTGTGAGCTCCGACATTGCTACAAAAGTTAAAATTCAAATTTCAAAAGCCTATTTTGAGGTAAAGAGCAAACACAGAAGTAAATATCAAGACTCTTACCTTTCCATATGCCAGAATCTTCCTCGTTCTTCCTATAGACAGGAGTCGCTGACCAGACAAAGAAACCACCCGGCCTCAAAGCACGATTCAATTCCAAAAGAAGTTTACCACCTTTATTTCAAAAAAAATCAACAACAATCAGAAGGCCACTCTGTGGAACAGAAGTAAGGCGAAAGAATACAAAGGGATAAACTTTTACCTTCGATATGCCAAGGGACTCTACAACGAGCACAATGGATAAGGTCAAAAACAGAACCGGGAAAAGGTAATCTTTTGGTTCCCATCACATTTAACATAGCAGGAATACCACGTTCCAGCGCAAATTGCACTTGCGCCTCATGCTCATCCTTGGGAGCGAATGACAAAGCAAGAACGTCTCTCTCAAAAAGGTAACCCCCGAAGCTAGCAACTCCACACCCAACATCCAATATAACACGGGTTCTATTTCCCCATGCAATAGCAGGATATGACTGCAACAATTTATTCAATTTTAATCATGCTTAGTAATGAGAAGATTATGTAGCCATTATAAAAATTTACCTGTTGGATGAAATCAATGTAGTGAAGGGCACCGTTCTTAAACTGAGTACCACCACCAGGGAACGTGAGATGTTCACCACTCATCTTCACCCAATTTTGATGTCCCTTGATCTCTGCAAGCTTGGTGTGGGGAACATTGTTGTACCAAATCTGCGATTTACACAACAAATAGCTGTCACGATAGATCATTTTAAAGGAGAGCAAGTAGTTTTTCTCCGAATATTGATAAAGTGTTCTTGTTAAATCTGGCGCAGTACTATTGTATTTGTAACTAGCCTAAGGGTAGAGCAGCAATTTGTAGCTTTTTCACTTCAGCAACAGACCTTAATTTCCAGCATCGGTTAAAAGTATGAGTTACTCTCCTTAAGCAAGTCTCTTCTAAGGTGTAGTTCTTAGGTGAAAATTGAGTAAAGAAGGAGTTTTTACCTTTTCCCTGCTCTTTGGCCACTTGATGGACCGCTTATAACCATCAGGCAGAGACACAAGACACCGAGGAGATTCCTCAGGACAATGGCGCTCGCGGTGTTCATAGTGCATTGTAGTATGAAGCTTCTTGATAGCTTGCCAGTTATCAAGGCAAGGGATGTAGTCTGGCCCAGCAGTCACATTGCATGTTTTCCATCCATAGCTCTTCTGGTCCTTGGATATTGAGGACTCTTGTGCTTTCTTCTCGTTCTGTGACTCAACTAATTGGGTTGACCAAGCTCCCTCTGTAGTGCTCGACTCCTTTGAAATTTCAGCCTGGTCACCAGCTGGAAAGACGTCCTTGTTACTCTTCTCCGTGCTTTCTTCAGTTTCACTAGCATTCTCTTCTGATTTTTCTTCAGACTTTTCTTCGTTTCCATTACCATCCTCAGATTTGTTTTCTTCCGCGCTCTCTTCTAGTTGCGTTTTCTCTTTCTGATTTGCTTCATTGCTTTCGATTTCTACTTCTTTCACATTCTTCTCTTTCTCCCCATCTCCGTCACCATTGCTGTCACCAGACTCCTTTTTTTCCTCAACTGCCTCAGTTTTCTTGTCAGAGCTCTCATCGACCTGGTTTTCCTCAGCAGATTTCTCTGTCTCATTCTTCACTTCGTTGTTCTCAGTCACAGCCTCATTTCCCTCGTTCTTTTCATCAGAAAAGGTCTTCTGATCACGATCGCCTTCTTCTTTTCTCAAGTCATTTTTAGTAACAGATTCCACATCTTTTGCAGTATTACTTGAGGAATAGTCAACAGAATCAGCCGGGGCAGACCACGAAGACATGAACATCCATGCCCCAACTAAACATAGAGAAAGGATCACAACAATGGTAATGGTTAAACCATGGCTTGATGATTTCTTCCCGTCTACACGGGAATACTTCCCCATCGCCATGTCCGTCGACTCAATGCAACCTTACTCACATTCACCTGCAGACCAATCACAAAGCAAAGTTAACAACGACAGAATAAACCACAGTAGCTGGTTAAACCAAAAACAATGAAGTAAAACACGATGCAGCATTCACTCACAATGGATCTCGTTATTCCTACCAATGCTATTGATATCAAAGATCAAACAATACATTCATACTCATTTGTTTTTTTTTCCATACTCATATGTTCATTAGCTGTTAAGGCCCAATTGTCTAAACTTGTTACAGATATTAAAAAAAAAAAGCGAGAAAACACATGATCACAGATCTAGATGACCAAACTAAACATATCTCCGAAGTCTGAAACATACGAGAAAACACTCAGATCTTAACACTCAAATAGTAAAAAAAAAAATCAAAACAAGGATCCAATCAGATTAACTTATTTAACAGCCAAAAAAAAAAACCACAATTCAGGACATACATCATAATATAAGTAAAACAGAATCACTGAGCAGCGTCGAATTATACATCAAAGCAATACCCAGAAGCAGTAAGGCTTGCTGGAAAAAAAGGATTGTGGCAAATCTTACCAGAGGATAATATGGGTGAGAGAGTCTAAGATCCTGAAAGATTGCAACTTTGTGAAGAAGCTAAAGTAGAGGATTTTTTGGGATCGGATCTACTAGAGAAGGAGCTAGTGGGTTGATTCGAGTGAGCAAGCTAAGTGGGTTACGGCCTTAAAACGCCAAAAATCCCGTTGTCAAAAATAAAAAGGAGGCTTTTTTTAAAAACAATTAATTTTCGTGTTTTCGAAGATTATTTATTCTCTCTGCCGCGTCGATCACCGACACAGACAGATCTGAATCATCTGATGAACAAAAATGTCAGCGGCTTCGTTAAAGTAAGTAAACGTCGCCATCTAGACAAACAGCTAACGGACTCAGAAGGCCCATTTGTTTTACTAAGACAGGCCGTGTTTGTAAGCCCATTAGCTTATTCGGTTTACTTCATTCCGGATCATATTTGGTTTACGAGTAGTCATGGTTACTACTTTCTGGTCATTAGCAATATTAGGTTCAGGATGGAGGCATTCTTGATCATACTCTCTCAGTCACACAACTTCTTTAGATCGTTGCAGTGATTTTTGTTTAGCAGTTAGTACATTTGTGATTTGATTTGCTAGCACAATAAATAAATAATTGTGATGGTGAAAAATATGATATATAAACGAAAAAAAGAAGGAACTGTCTTCAGATCTCATGAATCTAAAATTCCAAAACATGAACATAAGAAATTTATGTTCTTGTTCGAATGTTGCTAAAAAAACACTCATATAATGCTTGATTATACAGAGATGAATGAATATAATACGACCAAGAATCATGTCTTGTTGGCTGTTCTTTGAGCTTCTGCTGCCCACTGTTTACTGATTTTATCCTCTTCTTGCTCTCCATCATCAAACCAAGACACTGATGACACCAAACTTTACTATACATCAACTTCATGGACTTGATCCCTTAGAGAATTGTGGAGAGAATGCGTAAACAACATCGAGATAGCTATCGAGAAAACAAAACAGAGTGTCAGAGACTAGAATCCTACCAATAATGTGCTATATATCACTGGTAAATTGGGGTCTAACCAATTTTAAGCACTTCAAAGCAAGAACATGACCGAGAAAAAGTAAGAAAATACTTCTGAAGAAGTGTTCAAGTGTGGATATACAAAATTAATGAAACTCTTAAGAAGCAGAACATTGCTTAAGGAGCCCTTCCCTATCTAAACATCTCACTGAAGTCCATGAACCCTCTTACTTATCTTACTAGGATGGTCAGATGGTCAAATGCTTGGAGTCTTTAGTGATGCAGTTTTAGTGATATGATCTATGAAAGAAACAGCTTCCCAGATTCTTAAACTAAGAGTCTAAGACTAACCTGGAATTATCTTTCAGATCCTGCCGCCACATCAAACAAACCGCAGCAACTCAACCACGAGGTTCGGACAACTGGTGGACCAGAAGGCAAAAGACTCTGCATATCACATGTCCAAAAGACTCAGGAAACTGAAAAATAAGCTCAATTAGAGGAGAAAAGAAGGAAAACGAGAAAGGTACCTTTTCTTCTGAACATTCTGGCACTTCAGATTCTTTTCCTCTCTTGATTTCTTTGCTTGTATCTGCAGCAGATCCTGGAATGTTACCTTCTTTCGCTTCTTTTAGTCTACGTTTCTCTTTGGTTTCAACAGACTTCTGTAGGACAGAATCCGAGTCTGCTGAGCTCTCAACATGCTCATTTTTGTCAGAGATCACAGCCTTTGAGACAGCTGAACCTAGAGGCTTAACAGAATCAACACCAGGTACAATTTTCAAAGTTGAGGTACCACCAGCCTCTTGAGAAATTTCTCTTCTGGTATTGTGAGTAGAAGTTTCAGGAAAGTAATTGGGTGGTTTGTCCACACCATTCCCCTCATGATCCGTTCCTCTTCCAACTGCAATAAACTCTTCACCTTTCACTCCCTGTGCCCGAGTGATGTCTGTTTTCTCTTTCACAGTGTCCTTCCCCAGGCCAGATAATGAAGGAGGTGAAAGTGATGGGTCCCTTGTCCCAAATTCCTCATTTCCCTGAGAACCAGGAGAACTCAGATCGCCATCACTTTCTCTCTCGTCTTGGTTTCCATGTTCATCATGTCCAGAAATGTTCCCTTAACAGAAAGATCAAAGAAACTGCTAAAGGCCCAACAAAAGACTCTCTTAGGAACATAACTGGAAAAAGATAGAAAAAAATTTGCAAGTATCAAGAAGCAACAGTAACACACAGACAACTAACTAAATCATATCAAAAGTGAAGGATGTGATTAAAAAAGTAAAGTCACAAAATTTGGAGCAATAAATCAACCAGAGATTAGCTAAAGCTCACTACATGTGAAAGATTCCCTATAAATCAAGATCAAAGAATCATTTCGCTTCGGTTGTTGTAATACCAAAAGTGTCAGAGCCAGTCGAGAAGAGAAAGGAAGAAACTTTACCTAACACCAGAAACCCATTTGAGAGAGAACATCAACATACATAATATCCTAAAACCCGCCAACTAAACCCACCAAGATTAAAATCGATCCAGCAACAACAAATCCTGAAACAGTAACCAAGAGAGAGTACCATGACCATTGGAGCCTTTGTTGTTGGTACCGGCTCCAGTAGCTTCCTGCTCCTGCTGCTTCTTCTTCAAGGCCTTTCTTTTCTTCGACCCAGGAGGCATGATCAATGGATTTACAAGTACAAACAACAGCAGACGAAAAATGTTCAAAGAAAGGTTTGGTATTGGTTCGTTCTCAGTCTAAAGAGTTTCTCGAGCGTTCGTTAGTCGAAGTGGGTTTGTTGGTTTGTGTGATTGTGGGGGATGGAGTTGAGTTTTCTCCTTTTTGTCTTTATGTTTTGGGGAAAATCAAATGTCACACTAACAGTCAAAGGCACAAGATAAGGCGGAGCCCATTTATTAAACGTGTGTCGGTGTTGGCTCCAAATAATCTTCTTCTTTTGGTTCATTTTTATTTCCCTCTTTTATTTGGTCGTCCACATTTCGTTAGAGCCTAATTTGTATGACTTGACACGAGTTTCTTTTTTATCTATGCATAATTAATTTGTTAATCCGCATATTAATCACTTTCTTATTAGCATTTTGTTCAAATTTAATGTATGTTTTAATAGACACATTTTATTGGGTAAACAAGGTTTGTACAAGTATGGAGACTTCTTTGACACTAACATTACAATAGAGTTGGGAAAATGCAAAAGTAAAAAAAGCAAAAACAATAAAACACACAAAACAAAAGTAGATGATGATTTGAAAGTTGTGCAACAACCACACCGAATCTATGTGGTCGATCTTTCATTATTACTACTTTATCAGCAGCAGAGTCGCACACATCAATCACATAATGCTTCGACTCTTCTTGTTCATGTGTTTCCTCTTTTTGTTTTAGAGCATGTTCCACCTGAGAGATAGATAATCACAAAGAGTATTAAAATCAGTCACATGTTGTCATCAAGAACTAACCTATACGAAGTTTTGAATACAAAATTTACGTTGTGTGTCATCATATTCATGGTATGCTCATGCTCCACTCGTGACTTCTCTTTCGTCGCTGTTAACTCTGCTTCTGCAAGGTTCTTAGATTCGATCTCACTTTCTTTCTCCATCAGCTTATCATACTCTTCCTGAGTACCCCCAATGATTTGCAATATTTAAAAATCTGTTAACAATAGCAATTCCTGAAAAAAATAGTTTTGTAGTGGTGAACGGACAAGGTATTGAACATGCTAGTTTGTTTATTTATTTGTTGTAATTGGCATGACCAAATCAATCATTTAATTAGTTGTGCAGTTGGTTTTGGCAATTTTAAAAATATTATATATCCTACTCTTTTACATAATTTGAAAAGTTCATGAGAGAAAACTAATATATATATATTCTCTTGAATGTAATCTTATAGACAAACTTTACAAATTCTTTATCAAGAAAGAACAAAATATTGGAAATTTTTTGTGTGCTGTCAGCCCTATAGTCAGTGATTAGGCACTCATCTACATCTAGTGTTACTTTTGTATGAGTAGGGTAATATATACTAAGATAAAAACTATTAGATATTAATTAGAAGATAAAAAGCTGTTGTGTTCATCATAGTACTGGCTAAAGGCAAAGCATACAATAGATCCCTTCGTATCTGAAAGTATATCAAAACACTAAATCACCTTAATGTGGTGCGTACACGAATACGATTCCCCACTGATTTGGTTTTGAATAGCTGCATCATGGTCCAGAAGCTTGGCTACAAGAACTATGTTTTTAATGGAGGGCAAGTCCTGATCAGCCATATTCTTCTGATCACCAGCAATTCCTGCATGCACGTACCCCATGTTGAAGTTGAACATAAGAAAAATTAAATTCACACCTGATGAAGAAATTGGTGGACTGTATTAAACGGAAACTCACGAGCTTTCATATATATATATATATATATATATATATATATATATATTTTCTTGAGTAGAGAACAAAAGAAGAATGAATGAACAAGTTAGTCTACAAAACAATCATATATAAGTGAATAACAAGAGAAGAAGAATGAATTGACAAGTTAATGGACGTAACAAATCATATTATATAGAAGTAAAATGAGCCCTTTCTCCATCTATGGATATCCTTCACCTTGTCAGTAATGGATTAAAAATATAAAAATTCCTTAGTTCAAATTAATTTAGTTGTTTACTTGTTTAATTAGGATAATTTAAAAAATCAACTGATCAACGAAAGTGTTAAACAATATTGGAAGCTGATCGAACAAAGAAATAACATTTCATTTGTAAATAAAGATTGATTAGATTAATAGGACACACAATTAAATAAAACTACTGGTAGTTATAAATAAGTGACACTTGAGTTTGTTTATATATGTGAAAGTGAGATTGATTTGCTCACTTTAATTGATTAGAGAAGTAGAAACGGTAAACGAATTGAAACAGAAAGGCCAAGACGACTTTTGAGGATTTGACTAATTTGGTACGTACTTCTTTAACCTATAACCTATTAGGAACTCCCTATCCTCTTGATCCATCCTTTTAATTTCCAACTTTCCATTGTCTCTCTATTGATTTGCAACGTTCATATTTAGTGTTCTTGTTGTTTCTTGATCTATATATCGTTTATTGTTTCTTCTAAACAACGGTTTTGATGGTCATACACAATCTATAGCTTGGACAAATGATATATCAGTTGATTATAGATAAGTATGAATGCTGTCAACATAATCGAAATAACAATCGAACAACCTATTTGTTCTGAAGTATATGTGAAGTACTGAAGTGTCATAGCGAGTCCATTAGTTTATATGGTGTGTGGAAGTGCATTAGACGTCCTCTACATAAATCGAAGATGCAACAAATCATAGTATCTTTGCTAATATTATACGTTGACAATCACTTCGTTAATTCCCAATATAAATATTTTGTATGGAACGTACTGTACAATACAAAACACCATTAGTTAACATATAAACTGACATACATTTTTACGACCTAGCCTCAAATTTGTTGAAATATATACATGCTGTGATGATGTGTTGCGATAAGAATGCTTGTAGGAGAAAAGACAAATCCCAATTTTTAAAACTTAACGTATGAGATTAACTATATGACTAAAACACAACATCCAACAACATTAATATTGTCATGATGTTACACAATAGCCGGTTTATATAACGTATTGATATTAACGTTTTATTAACTACAACTAATACAGAAACACTAGTGGTAGAAGATGTCGACCTTAACCAATTACTGGTCATATATTTATTTATATTCTAAAATGCGTTATAAACTAGAGAGAACGTATATCAACCTGATCAATATCAATATTATCTTTAAATTTCAGGTAGAAATGTCACCTATCTCACAACAAGTTGTTCATGTCACTCACTGTTTTGGATTCAAACAAAAATAAAATACACGTCCATGGTATTTGTGAAAATTTTCATATGAAATATGTCAAAGATAACAGCCGGAACTATTGATTTTTTACTCTCTTTTTTCCATTTGAAATTTCATTAATAAACTTATAAGAGAATACATGGTACGATACAAATACTCAAACAAGAGAAACTAAAGACAGCAAACGACATACTATTGATTTTTTACTTAGTTGCTGCATAACCAGCTAAACAAATTACTAATAGTTTTTTCGAAACCGGAAAGTACAAACATTCAACTACGATTCTACGAATAGATAGTGTACTTTTAAATGTACAGTATTTAGTTTCACTAAAAGACCCCTAAAATACATATAGGTTTAAACCTTGTCGTATAGACCATAAGCTAGTCCGGCCTGAGAAATATATTTCTTCAGATCTAAAACTCTTCGATCAATCTGAGGCCTGTTTTGTCTAGAATCGGCCGAGTAGGGGAGGATCTGAGTTGAACCTAGGAGCATACACACAGATTGACATTTCATCAGGCTGATGGGATGTGTTGCATAAAGTCAACTTTAACGTGGCATCATCCCAATCGTCTGTTTAGAATCATACCAAGTTACCAACACCTCAAATAAATCTTAGCTAAAAGAGCTATAGTTTTTTTTCCTTTTCTCTAATGAATATGATTTTATTTCTTTCTGCAATACAAAATCTATGTGAGATCTTTAAACCTAATCTCATCTTACAAGGCAAGCTACGGTAGGTAATATGCATTTGGTGTTTTGACTTTTTGAGACTTGGTTTTTGAGAAAAAGGCCAAAAATCTAACACTTAAGTAGAGAAGACTTTGTCAACTGAGAGGAGACAAAGTTTCTTTGTCTAATTTAGAATCATGGTGTACCACAAACTAAGTGACTCTTTAACACAACAAAACGTGAAACCCACCTGCAATATACTAATGACATGGTTACAAAAGAGAAGCCAACACAATCCCAGAGACACATACATTAGCCCAAACCTTTTTGTCTCTTCCTATTTTATATTCACGTTTAATTCTCTCTGCTTTTGCTACAGACAGAGCAAAAACTAACCAAGATATGCGAGGAGCTGATTCGTTGGTTACCTTAAACCACAAGATTCTCCGGCCGTGTAGGAAACTCCTGATCAGAATCACCAAGAGCTGTCCCCGACGCCACAACCGGCATTTGAAACTCAAGAAAGCTTCTCCTTCTTCTTCAACTTCTTCAGGAAACAAGGTTACCAAAGTGGTGGCTTTGTTCTTCCTCTCATTCCATAAGAAGAAGCAAAAGAAAGAGAAGATGAAGCGGCTCAACGAACTCAGGAGCTTCTCGCACGCAGTCAGTGACCAGAAGAAAGTCCCAAAACAAGAATCAAGCAAGAAAGTTTTCCCATCAAGACTCACAATGTCTTGGCTAGGACAAGGAAAGGGTAACGCCACACAGGAAGTCCCGCAAGATCACGATGCACGTAGAGACAGCACAAGCGCATTCATTCCATGATTTTCAATCAAATTATGTGGATATTTTTATGATCTCTCAATGTACATTGACATTGAGATCCTACTCTAGCAACACCAATCTGTTTGTTTGCATTGTGGTCAATATAAAAAGTAAAAACAAAAAAAAACAAGATTGATGCAAATGATTTTTGTAATGGAGTTAAATATCATATTAGAATAATCATCAACAAAGGATTGCCATTTCAAGAATCCAAATAATATTGGAAACAGAAAGAGAAAGATAGACATTGAAAATTTATACATCTATCCTACAAGCACGGACCAAGTTGCTTCATTCCCTACCCCAATCTGAGGCATATCAACTCACCGATAGGGTTGATACAAAATTGGAGTAAGAAGCCAGCCAGGTAACTATCCTCCAGCCATTTCTTGGCATCATCTCCATTGTGTGAGAACCTGAAACAAAGACAAAAGTTAAATGCTTTAAGATAGCAACAATAGATATAGAACACCACATTTTGCATTCGAAGCTAAGTGTTTAACTGAGATTACGGAAAGAGCTGATTTTGGCTAAACCCACATACAAGAAACAACTCAAAGAACTGGAATCGCAGACAATAATCAGTATGCGAAGCAAAAGATTGAAAAAAATTCAGACGTTTTATGTAATGGTATTGAAGTTCAATGACCAACATTACGGCTATAAGAATCACAAAAAGGTGAAAATTAGAAGAGCAAAGGCTTACTCTTTGGAAAAGATAAATGTGGAAGGAAGTGGAAGCAGCTCGAAAGAAGTGAAGAAGCCATGGCTGTGCGTGGGTTGCAGTATTAGCTAGCGGAGGGTAAAGGGTTAATAAAACCCTAAGACTAATAAGAGAGAGAGAGAGAGAGAGAGAATTAGCTTAAGGGGTTGTTGTATTTAAGTAAAGTAATGATCTTTTGGGTGACCGGCGTGCTTACAGTTCTGCACAGAGCACATTTATCAATGAATGTTACTAGAAGAGAAAGAGACAGAGAGAGAGAAAGAGAGACTTTTGTTTTTGGTTTCGTGATTCGAATTCAAAGGTCCCCTTTTGATTGAATTCTTCTTTCTTCTGAGACAATTTCCCCCGGTTCAATGTAGGCTTCCTTGCTGGGCTAATTGGGCTCTTGTTGGGCCCAATAGAGAAACCAGTGGACGAAACAAAAGTACATGAGATCTTCATCTCTTTATACTACGTTTTTTTTTTCTTGCGTTTCCAAAAGAATACAATATTGAAGTAACACCGTAATAGTTAAAAACCTTGCACTAATAAAAAATGAACTATAGAGCACTTGAGAGTTGAGATCTTGATGAGGGATGCGCTACATTCTGATCCAAAGTTGCAAATACTAGACACAAACACAATTGACGTTACAACTTTCAAATATTGGTGATTATGATCCCAAATATCTGATACATTGAGTTAACAAAAGTAGTTGTACATTTCTCTACTTAATGTCACACTGTCACAAATACTTGTCTTTTTCTGTCTCTCACAAAGTCACGATCAATGACAACAACAGAACAGCTGTAAATTATGTTTCGGCTTTGTCCACTTCCGCACCACATTAATCCAACTGGGATATTTTTTATTTAGTGTTATTACGTTTTTCTTACTTAATCCCAAGTTTTCTTATGTTTCCTATTACAATTTAGGGAAAAAAATATATATATATGAAAAAAATAGGAACTAGGGGGATGATAACGATTTGTTTCACATTTTCCCCACCACCTTTAACTTACATGGAAAAACAACACGGGAACACTGGAATTTTCCCCCAAAAAGAAAAGAAAGAAGTTGAGAAAAGATAATAAAATGGCAAACCGGTAACAGTTCAAGCCTCCAAAAACCCGGTTAACCTAAGAACCGAATTGCGAACCCGGCTGAGATCTCTGCCCTTGAGAGTCCTTCCACTACCTGAACAGACGGAAAACGCCATTTGTCCACCTTGGTAACTCCTTCCAACCATAATATGCGGCGGAACCATCTCTCCTCCTCCGTCTGAGTGTTCCTCCTCCTCCTCCTCCTTCCCGTTAACGTAACTCAGGAACATGTTCTCCGGGATATTCACCGGGACCGAGCTCGATAAGGCTGCCTTGTCGTCCGTGGCGCTCTTCTTAATTTTGATCCGTCTCGTCATGTTCCTCTCTCCAAAAGAACCGAGCAGAAGATTCTTGTTTTCTTCATCTCCTCGTTGGGGAACGGAGCTGAAACCATTGGAGAATACAACTTCAGACTCATCGAATTCCTCCGCCATCTTTCCAAGGTTTTTTTTGTTGGAGACACTCGAAATGATCTTGGAGAACAAAAGTAGAAGGTTTTATGTATATATAGGGAAGAAGAAAGGAAGAAGAAGACAGAAGGAAACGTAGAGAGAGTCACAAGAAGAAGCTTTTGGGGTTTTGTCTTTAGTACTGTTGTGTGTTATTTTAGGAGATGAGATGAGGTCATGATCATGGATTCATCGCATTGAGTGCGGACCCTGCTTACTTTCTATATCTGTACACTTTGGATTATTATTACTGTAGCATTATGATAATTCGTTAATAAAATGTTTTATATATAAAGCAGAATTATATACTTTTTTATTGATAGATATGCGTTGGAGTTATCTTATCTTATATGTGTCTGTGATATTGCAGACTGGGGAGCCCGATTGGATCGTCCTTTCTTTTCGTTGTCACCATTAACTAATTAAGTTACTCTTAATCAGATTTATTTCTAGTTTATAGTAATTGTGAATCAAATTGGAACTTTTGGTTCCTGTTTAAGGAAAGTATATTACCCTTAATTAAACAACATAATAAATCAGCCTCTATTTATCTTTTTTCTTATAATCGACTAATGGAATTCCTATTCTTTTATTAAAAATTGCGATATCGACCACGTGAATTTGTCATATTTCGTAACTTGTGTCTCATGACTTTTATTTTCTTCTTTTTCTCATGCATTGTATACACAAAAAGATGATACTATTATGTTCCTTTGTAAGTTTTCTGCAAAAGGTTTTGCATTTAAATAAGTTTATGTATAAGTAAATTCAATGAATACAGCGAAAATATGAATGAATCGACCGTGTGGCGTGTGATATGATTGCGGAGTATTTTTTTTTTTCAGTCTAACCACAGGAACCTGATCAAAAGCATGATGCTTCGATTTTTGCAAAAAAACATGAATATATTGGACTGGACCAAAACCAGACTTGTCAAGACAATAATGTATGCTACTTTTGTTTTCTATGTGACAAGTAACTGCAGATTGGCACACAAAACTACATATAATCTTAGACCAGTTCCAATTTCGAAAAGCTAAATTCTATTTTGGATACTATTTTATACTATAAAATGATGTAATCTAGCTAGTTGACAGCAACAAAGAAAGAAAAAATGTAATCTAGTTTCAAGTCGATTCCAATTTGAAATTTTGAAAGAAAACAAGTACAAAGTACTTAATCTATCTAGTTAGGTCTTTCATGATTTAAAAAATGTGGTAAGTTGGAATCTTGTATGCATAAAATATGGATAAGTTGGTTAAATTTCAAAGTAAGATAATATAGCTAATGTGGGGGAGTTGGGAAAAACAACACTTTTTGTGTGTTTTACTGGAAAAGGAATCTAAACGTCTGCGTGTACAGACGCATCAGGGCTCCGTTGCTTTCGCCCCACGCGTACTGTTTTTATTTTTATACTATGTTTTTTTTGCTTGGTATTGTATTTAACGTTACTGGTGTAATATAATTTGATTATCCCATTGATTAACATAAATAAATAGTAACAATTAGTTCCAAATACTTTGAACTCATTTCATTTTTCTCTTTTGTAATAATAGAAGAATTTTAAAACTTATAAAGCCTTAAACGAAGTGCAATCTATACCAAAATTGTAAAACACTGAATATGAGTTATACGTGTATTCTGTTTTATTTTCTAAGGTTATCCTATCCGTATATACTTTGTGTGTCGATCGATTAAAATATAAATTTGGGTAGATTCGTGGTGTTGTGCTGGCTACGGAACGAACCACAAAACGGGTTTATCCTGCTTATCCGTTGCTTACAGTTTTTGTTTAGTCCAACACGTACGTAAAATACCCACATGGAAATGTAGATAAGTACTACAACGAATTTTAAATGGCATTGGCCGCCAACGTTATTTTTCTTTTTCTTTCAGATTCGTGAACCTTGTGTTTTAAGCAACGTACGTATATGCTTGGATAGTTAGATTATATCCGATAGGTCTCTCTTGCAAATATGATAAGTATAGGACTATTCCTTGTTGAGAACTAGTAAGTGCTATTACCAGACCAGCAACATGACTTTCGTTCATATATTAATATGCAGAGAGTAGAGGCTATTTTTTTTCTCGCTTACGTCTTTCAAAGATTACAAACTTTTTTTTTTTTTTTTTTTGGAATATTCATTTGAGTTCTTCTTACTGCGCAAAGTGTCACTAACAGAGTAACAGTTACAGATTACAATCGTATATGCATGCAACAGTGGCAGCTCAATAAATAGAATCTGTGTATAAATTTGTTTTTAAATTGGCCCTAAAGTTTAGTCAAAAAAATTTGGGGTCATGTTCAAATGGGAACCGCCCCTGCTGCAAGTTTTTGCGGAGGTAAGAACATTTCCCTTTGGTTGAATTTGAGTTTTGTTGGTATTATATATGGCTTTCTAGTATGCTAAGTGGCTTAGTGTTTATTTAAAAAAAAATGTGGCTTAGTGTAGAAGTGGTGCAGGATGTGAGGATGTTCTCATAAACATATGACCTGTTGTAACCAAACAATTATCTATTAATAAAATATACCAAAAAAAAAAAGTGAAGTTATATAATTGATTGTGTGTTGCTGTTGAAAGATTTGCCGATCGTTATAGCTGTCAGCGATTCGCTAAGACTTGTACAAACCAGCTAGTCAGCTACAGATCACGTTTTTATAATCACATTAATATATATGACGGAGGAACGACTAGTCATGTACCAAGGTGTAATCATATTTTACAAAAAAAAGGTCACGTTTTATTAAATCATGTATATAAATTGATTATATTAATCTCTCCTTGTATTATATAATTGATTAATGGACTTCCTCGTTTCACAAGTCAGATTTGGTTTTGAGTTAAGATTCAGCTTTACTGGTTTAGGAAAGCAAAACCAATGAACAATGATAGTTTATGTGTTTCTGATATCGGTTCTATTTGGTTTAGTGTAGTTGGAGTGCAGGAGCGAACTCCAATTAGAACTCGGTTTGTTTCAATCAGTTGGTTTATATTTGGTCGAACCAAACGAACACATTTAAATTTAAAGTTGACTTTACTTTCATTTTAAGACACAATGGGAACTCATCGTTGTGATCGATTCGGATAGTGATAGAGAAGGCGAGAAAAATAAAGAGAGATAGATGGAGTTTGCAAAGACAAAATGGGTGGCTGCGGCAGCGAGTATATGGATACAAAGCTTTACAGGAGCAAGCTACACCTTTGGAATCTATTCCTCTCTTCTCAAAACATCTCAATCTTATGATCAGTCTACCCTTGACACCGTCTCCGTTTACAAAGACATCGGAGCAAACGTAGGCATCCTCTCCGGTCTCTTCTACACCGCGGTTGCAAGCAGCAAAAGCGGCAACGGTCGCTTCTTTAGTGGACCATGGTTGGTTATATTCGTGGGGCTAGTGCAATGGTTTGTGGGGTACGGATTCATGTGGATGGCTGCGTCAGGAGTGATCGAACGGCCTCCCGTGTCTATGATGTGTTTGTTCATGTTCTTCGCCGGTCATTGTCAGCCTTTCTTTAATACGGCTATTGTGGTCACCGCCGTCCGTAACTTCTCCGACTATGGTGGGACGGCCGTTGGGATTATGAAGGTATGGCATATCATTTAGACTTGGTGAATACTGAATAAGATATTTATTTTGTATTAGACACTTTCTGCTCTTTTTATCATATAGAAAAGACCATATAAAATACATAAACGCCTAGCTATAGCGTTTACATTTATTTTTTAAATACTGGCTAGAGAAAGGTATAGCTAAGAGGTAAGATTTATGTACATAATTCTTGATAAGTTTGTGGCCGTGATCAAGAAAAATCAGTAAAATAATTATTTGTTGCATGTGTGTTTTTGATTTAAAATTCAGGGTTACCTTGGGCTTAGTGGAGCAATTCTGGTTCAAATGTACCACATCTTCTGTGAAGGCGATCCAGCGAATTACATTCTCCTTTTGGCCGTAGTACCATCACTCCTCATCTTGACGTTGATGCCCTTCGTTAGAACATACGACACAGTCATCGCAGGCGACAAGAAACACTTGAACGGTCTCACCGCCATCTCCTTGATCATCGTCACCTATCTTATGGTCGTCATATTGGTCGAAAATGGTATTGGAATGTCAAAGCCTATGCAGATATGCTCTTTCACCCTTCTACTTCTCTTGCTCGCCTCTCCTCTCTTAGTGGCGGTTAGAGCACAACGTGAAGAGAAAGATAGATTCTTGTCTTTGGATTTTCCGGTTACCGAGATAACCACATTGCTTGATTCTCCTAAGCTCAACACTTCTTCTGGTAAAGTTTAGTTTCCATCTTTATTATTTATTGATGAATTATATATATATATATATATAATATTTTGGTCATAAAGTGAATCATAACCTTATTGTTAGTTCTTTTTTTTTGTTCTTAATATACACTTATCGAAGTGAAATTTCTAACACATTAATTTCAATCAATCGACAGATGTTAAAGTTGTCATGAACAATGATATGAACGTCCTCGAAGCAATATACACAACAAACTTCTGGCTTCTATTTGCGGCGATGATATGTGGAATGGGTTCAGGACTCGCGACGATAAACAACATCAGACAGATGGGGGAGTCACTTCACTACTCTACTGTGCAACTTAATGCTCTGGTGTCTCTCTGGAGCATATGGAGCTTTCTAGGCCGGCTTGGGTCGGGTTACTTCTCAGACGCTTATTTAAACAGTCATGGCTGGCCGAGACCAGTATTCATGGCCATAACTCTAGCCCTTATGGCTATAGGTCACAGTGTCATGGCCACCGGTTTGGCAGGAAGCCTGTATATCGGATCCTTGTTGGTAGGTTTAGCGTACGGGTCACAATGGTCACTCATGCCGACAATAACCTCTGAAATATTTGGGATTCGCCATATGGGAACTATATTCTATACAATATCGATAGCTAGTCCGGTTGGTTCCTACTTTTTCTCAGTGAAGGTGATAGGCTACTTGTACGACAAGGTAGCTTCTGAGGATGACCATTCTTGTTATGGGAATCATTGTTTTGGGACTTCGTTTATGATAATGGCGGCCATGGCCTTCCTTGGATCTTTTGTCGCTCTAGTGTTATTCCTCCGCACAAGGAAGTTTTATGCGACGCTTGTGGCCAAGAGGATCTTGAAGTAATCTCTATATTCTGAATCGTGGCTTCATTAATTATTTATTTATTTTGTGGGTTTTTTCTTCCTTCGTAGATCAAAAGATAATATATATTGTTTGTAAAAAACGTGGGTTGTGAATAATATTGAAAGATTTTGAGTAATAAGATATGATCATGTGACCAACATTTGGTTTATTTATTGATATCAGTCATCTCACCTACATATGATTATCAGAAGAAAAAAATAATTATATTAACAGCCATTTGGTAAAAAGAGATCAATCTATCACATATTTATATATTTAGGCATGAAATTAAGAAAAAAATATTTATATACAAAATGATTAAAAGTCTGTAAGTTATATTAATCTAAGTTGCATGGAAACGGAAACGCATACACGGAAACGAAACGTTTCGGAAACGAGAAACGACAATTTTTGAAAATTAAGGATTGGAAACGTTTTGGAAACGTATGTATATATAATTATATATATATATATACTAAAATACCAAATATAAAATCCATATTAAAAAAAAAAGAATTTTTGAAGACATAAATACTATATAGTTAAACAAAATTCTAAAAGATAATACTAAAACGTTCAAATTCAAATGTTTGTACCATCATCGCCGTCATCATTTTTATCAAATAAAACAGCCTCTAAATCAGGTTCGTCTAGAGAAAGATCTTCAGACTCAAGTTTCCCAAGATTAGACTCATTTAGTGAATCAAGTTGATCACCTCCAATATCCCACATATGATTAGACCATAATTTATATTTATTGAAATTATACATCCTTTTTATTAGAGATAGATACAATTTTTTTATAATCACAATATATATTTTATATATTATATTTTTTAAATCTAAAACGGAAACGGGAGTTTCCAAAACGGAAACGGGAGTTTCCATCGAGTTTCCAAATGGAAATTTTTAAGAATCGTGTTTCCATGGGTATTTTCCGAGTTTCAGAGAGTTTCTGTTTCTGAAACGTTTCGGAAACGGGAAACGCACTTCGAAAAGAGTTTCCATGTAACGTAGATATTAATTGCTTACAAAAATAGAAAATTTTGTTTTTAGAAAAGTCTGTTATTCTCAGTTAATTAAATTGGTTTCGATATATGATTAAACGTAAGCTTGATAACTCTCCAATTACCTTTTAGATCTCGCAAGAGCAGCACTTAATTTTAAAAGACTAAGTCAAAAAAATCTTAACTCAGTCTCGATGATCACGATGTCCAAAGGGCGATTGAACACTTCTTCTCTTCATTTGACTTCAGACGTGAGATTTGGTTATACAGCTGGCTAGTATCAGAAATTCGGAAAAAGGCTCTGAATTTCGATGATGGAGAGAATAAACACGAAATGGGTAGCAGCAGCAGCGAGCATATGGATTCAAAGCTTTAGCGGAGCTACATACACATTCGCTATCTACTCTTCTATCCTCAAATCATCTCAATCTTATGACCAGTCTACTCTTGATTTCGTTTCTGTCTTTAAAGACATCGGTGGTACCTTTGGTATCATCTCCGGTTTCCTTTACACGTCCATGACTTCTAAGCTACACGGTCGTGGTGGTCCTTGGGTTGTGGTTTTGGTTGGGCTGGTTCAGTGGTTTGTGGGATTCTTTTTTATCTGGGCTTCGGTTGTTGGGTTGATTGCACCGCCGCCTGTGCCGCTGATGTGTTTGTTCGTGTTCTTGGCTGGTCACTCGTTGCCGTTTTTCAATACGGCTAATGTTGTCACGGCTGCTCGGAACTTTTCTCAGTATGGTGGGACAGCTGTTGGCATTATGCAGGTAAGCTTTGTTACGGAATCATCAAATTGGGTGAAGTTGAAACTCAATCACGCATTCAATTTGATCGATCTTGTGTGTCTTAGGAGTTTTTCTCAAGAAGACTTCTCATTTTTGAAATAAAATATAAACCTTTACTGTTCACATGGCCAAAAAAGATTCAAGTTTTAGTTTGGAGCTTAGCTTCTGTAGCTTTGATTTGGAGTTTGAACCAGATTTGTTTGCATCATAGATGGTGTTTACTCTGTCACACTTGTGTCTTTTGTTGTATACTTGCAGTTTGATTTATGAATTATGATTGATGTACATATCCAAAATACTAACTCACTTTCTACTAAATGTGTTCATCTTTGAACTTCAGGGATTTCTAGGTCTAAGTGGAGCAATTCTGATTCAGTTGTACCACGCAGTCTGCGGAGGTGAAGGTAATCCTGCTACTTTCATTCTTCTCCTGGCTGTAGTACCAACGCTTGTCATCTTCTTGACTATGCCTTTTGTAAGAGTTTATGAAACGGTCACCACGAGTGAGAAGAAACACTTGAATGGTCTCTCTGTGATCTCTTTGATCATCGCCGCTTATCTCATGGTCATTATTACGGTTGAAAATGTTCTCGGTTTATCACGGTCCATGCAGATTTTCTCCTTCGTCCTTGTGCTTTTATTGCTTGCCTCTCCTCTCTTGGTTGCGGTGAGAGCCCTACGCGAAGAAAGGCCAGCACTTTCTTCTCTGGATTGTCCTATTCCCGACACATCTGCCTTGCTCGGCTCTCCTAGTTCAAAAGCTTTTCCCGGTATATATGCTTACCAAAATCTGGATTACGCACCGCCTAAGTCAGCACACTAAACAGAGTGAGAACAGAACACTGACTGTTTTACAAATTTGTGCAGATGGAGATCATGTGGTTGTTGAAGACTCAAATATACTGGAAGCAATGAGGACAGTGAACTTCTGGCTGCTCTTCTTGGCAATGCTATGTGGGATGGGTTCAGGATTCGCGACTATAAACAACATGAGACAGATAGGCGAGTCTCTTCGCTACTCCCCGGTTCAACTCAATTCCCTGGTCTCTCTCTGGAGCATATGGAACTTTCTAGGCCGGTTTGGAGCCGGTTATATCTCAGACACATTCTTACACAAATACAGCTGGCCAAGACCTATCTTCATGGCCATAACTCTAGGTGTTATGGCTGTAGGCCACATCGTAGTGGCATCTGGTTTACAAGGGAGCCTCTATGTTGGTTCAGTTTTGATCGGTATGGCTTACGGTTCGCAATGGTCGCTCATGCCGACAATCACATCAGAGATATTTGGGATCCGGCATATGGGAACGATTTATTTCACGATTTCGATTGCAGGTCCTATCGGGTCGTATCTTCTCTCTGTGAAAGTGATAGGTTACTTCTACGACAAGGTGGCTTCTAAGGATGACAATTCTTGCTTTGGAAGTCGATGTTTCAGGACATCGTTTCTGATCATGGCTTCTGTGGCTCTCTTCGGCTCTTTGGTTGCTTCTATATTGTTCTTCCGCACAAGCAAGTTTTACAAAAGACTTGTAGCCAAGAGGAACTCGAAGTGAACTTTGCAAATTGTATATTGTTCATACCTATAATTTGAAGGTTGAAACAATTTATTGGTATAGATCCAAGACTCACGACAAAACTATTTGTAATTGTGCCACGTTTGAAAAACAAAAGTATATTTACATGCAATGGAAAGTTTGGTCGGATTGACCGGTTGAACCGGAATCTGGCTAACATTTGGTGCTTAATTTTAAAAAATTTAACCAAAAAAATCACTTTACCAAAACCGGAGGAAGTCGATAAAAAAAACTTAAAAAAATTAGGGATCAAACCTTAAACCCTGCTTTGATTTTCTTTCTTTTAGGGTTCTCCTTCTCCTCTCATTATCGCCAACACAAACTTGAGCAGTCTCTCTCAGTCTTCATCGATCTTCAAGCCAACGAGGCTTCTTCTCCTTTGCTGTTTACAGGTTAGAATCCCTATAACCATTATTCTCTTCTCCTTCTGATTGGATTCAATCTAAATTCTCTCTACCTGTTTCGTTTGTTGTTTTCTTTTATGTTTCTGAGACTCTTCTTCAACCCTTAAGCTTCAATTTTTGAATTTGTATTTACACTCTGGAAAAGCCTCAGTCTCGCTTTGGTCTTATAGGATTTTAGCTAGATTTAGTTATTATTATTATTATATGTCCCGTGATTAATTTTGAATTGCTATGATAATTCTGAAGATTGCATAGTATTGCTCTAAAGTTCTGTCTTTGTGTTCTTTTCCTATCTCATCAATTCCTCAGAAGCTCCATATTACTCCTACAATTCCTCCTAAGCAAGCTTCTTCAGTCTTTAACGAAAAGTAAGTTTTTTTTTGCTGTTGTTGAGTTTTGTGTAAGTCTTTTAGTATAATTGATTTGATTAACCTAATTGTTCCCGTTCCTTTTTGGGAAATTCACCTCAGATTAGTCAAGGAAACGGAACCTAGTTATGGATACATTATGTGTTGACATTGTAACCAGCATGTCCCTCACACCCTCAGAACCTGACCTGCCTGTTTCTGAAGATTTTGGGGACTACATGCGTTCTCGCTTATTGCAGTCGAAACGACCAGACCAGGAACATCTATGCGCTGTCATCGAGGAATTATCAAAAACGCTGGCTGAAGATAATCATTCTCGGACACCTGTTGCTTACTTTGCTGCCACATGCAGCTCGCTTAACAGCCTCATGTCCCCTGATACTAAACCGTCTTTGGATGTCGTCCAGCCACATGTTGTTATCCTTTCCCTTGTCTTCCCTAAAGTCTCAGCTGGACTACTGAACAGGGATGGGTTGGCTTTGCGTCTCGTCCTCAGCGTTCTGCGTCATTTTTCAGCCTCGCCTGAGTGCTTGATTCCGGGATTGAAGTGTTTGGTTCACCTTCTCACAACTGTTGAGTCCATTATGGGGAACGAAGGCTCGGATTCCTACAGCATTTTGCTAGATTTTGTAATTCATTCAGATGGAAAGGTAAATAATTTTTTTACAGGTACTGGTGATTTGGGTCTGCGTCAATTTTTGATGATTTTCTTCTTCTAAATCCAGGTAAGAAAACTAGCAAACTCGTGTCTCCGTGATGTTCTGCTGAAATCCCATGGAACAAGGGCCTGGCTATCAGTCAGTGGAGCAATTGCAGAAATGTTCCAGAAATATTTAGACCTCGCCCATAAATCGGAAGTGGGTTCTACAGAAGGAGCCAGGGGAGCGAAGCAAGTGCTTTACGTTCTGACCACTCTAAAAGAGTGCTTGGCCTTGATGTCGAAAAAGCACATTGCTACTCTGATTGAGGGCTTTAAGGTGCTGATGATTCTGCGTGATCCATACATTACGAGGCCAGTGATAGACTCTTTAAATGCTGTTTGTCTCAATCCAACCTCCGAGATTCCAGTTGAGGCGCTGGTCGAGGTGCTATCTCTAGCGGCTGGACTGTTCTCCGGACATGAAACATCTGCTGACGCCATGACCTCTACAGCACGTTTGCTGAAAGTTGGGATTACTAGGACTTTTTCCCTAAACAGAGATCTTTGTGTGGTTAAACTTCCTAGTGTGTTCACTGGCCTGAAAGGTATGCTGTTGTATCTGCTTCTTTCTGCTTTTTTTGGTTTCAGAATTTCTCAAACACTCTGCTTTTCTTATCAGTGTGGGTTATCGTACCCTTTACATGTTCTTTATGCTTCTTTTGACAGATATTCTTTCATCTGAACATGAGGAGGCAATCTTTGCGGCAACTGATGCGTTGAAGAGTTTGATATTTTCATGCATTGACGAAAGCTTGATCAGAGAAGGCGTCAACGGAATCCGGGATTCAAACTTGAATGTAAGGAAGTCTAGTCCAACAGTCATCGAAAAGCTGTGTGCAATGGTTGAGAGTTTGCTTGATTACAAGTATCATGCAGTCTGGGATATGGCTTTTCAAATAGTTTCAGCAATGTTTGATAAATTAGGTAATTATTATCTTTATTCCGACTTTTCATTTGTTTCTTCTTGTTGAAGGTTTTTCCTTTCTAAGATTCTGACTCTTGTGCCTTTATGGAGTTATTTTGACCAGTTATTGCTTAGTTGTTCTTGCTAATCCTTTCACACAATTTTCAGGTGAAGATTCTGCATATTTTATGAGGAAGACCCTCGAGGACTTATCAAACATGCAAGACTTACCTGATGAAGGCTTTCCTTTTCGGAAGCAGGTAACTGTACTATACTTATCCTGGACTGTAACGATCATCTTCTGGAGTCTAGATTACATTAAAAATACTTGTGATAATGTATTCTCTTATCTTGGTTTCATCATTGGACCTAATTTCATCCGATGATGATCCATCGTTGCGGAAATATAATATTCTTTACCATAGAACGTCAGTAATGATATTAGGTTACTTATATGGTGTTTTGTACAAAAAAACGAAATGCTGTGTGCACATGCAATTATGTCAATACATACTGACCTAAGTCTCAAAATGCTTAATCTTTTGGCTACAGTTCTTGCGTAAATTTTTTCTGCTTTCTATTGGCTTGGTGGTGCATCTTATGCTGTTGGTACAGCAATTTGATGCTCAAAATATATATATATATATATATACTGTTATGTGGAGGTGCTCCCATTTTTAGTTAGAAATGAATGATTTTATGATTCAAGATGAGGCAAACATGTCAATGTATTAGGCCTTGCTTTTGTTACCCACGTTCTGTAATTTCTTAGACTTATGTTATCTTTGTTGTCTATCTTCAGTTGCATGAGTGTGTAGGATCAGCCCTTGGTGCTATGGGACCTGAAACATTTTTAAGCATTGTACGTTTAAACCTTGAAGCTAGTGATCTGTCTGAGGTAAAAGTTTGGCTCTTCCCAATCTTGAAGCAGTACACAGTTGGAGGACGCTTGAGTTTCTTCACAGAGACTATTTTTAGAATGATCGAAACAATGAGCCAAAAAGCTCAACAGGTAATTTTTATTGTTTCCTGCTATTTGATATATTCTTGTGTGTATATTTCTTAATATTTGCTAGTTGTATGTGATGGCAGCTCAAGCTACAAGGTCTTCCTGTAGCATCCAGGAGTGTGGATTCTCTAGTATATTCATTATGGGCTTTGTTACCTTCATTCTGTAACTATCCCGTGGATACTGTGGAGAGTTTTGCCGATCTTGGGAGAATATTATGTGGAGTTCTTCAAACACAGGTTGAGACCCGTGGAATTATATGCGCCAGTTTGAATATTCTGATTGAACAAAATAAGGGAGCTGTTGAGGGGAAAGAAATGTCTACTAATGATGCTAGTCCTGCTATGCAACGAGCTACTGCTCGCTATGATTCACAGCATGTGGCAGCTAATTTGAAGGTTTTGCGGTTGTGTGCACCGAAATTATTGGATGTTTTGTCAAGGATATTTCATGAATCTAGCAAAGATGATGGCGGTTCTCTTCAGGTAATTAAAACCTTTGAGGGCAGGGTTACAATTCCTTACAGCATAAATATATGATTGGTTACAATTTTATATCACTTAGTTATATGTCACCAGAACTTGTTCTTCTTTGTGCTGTATTCTCTTGAAATATCGATGTCAGCCACTAATTAGTCTTTAAGTCAGAGCTTATCACAGTATTTAATAACTTTTCGTGTCTTACTTTCAGTCTGCGATAGGCAACTTGGCTTCCATTGCAGAGAAAAAGACTGTTTCGAAGCTACTTTTCAAGACCCTGCGAGAGCTTTTAGAGGCTACCAAAACTGCCATTGCACAAGATAAAAGTTCTGTTAGTGGGATGGACATTGATAACACCACAGACAAAAATTCTTCTTCCAACTTAAGGTACTGTTACTCCAATGTGTGTTTCTAGTTGCTTAGTTGCTAGTGCAAAAGTTGACCCTATAATCTGTATTTCATTTCAGGGCAAGGATGTTTGATCTGTTAGTTTCACTTATACCTATTTTGGATGCTCAGGAAGTAGATACCATATTTAGTTCTCTGAAGCCTGCTTTGCAGGTTTGTAAATTGATCTATTGTATTGAACGATTTATTATTCGTAGTGTATCTGTGATTTATTCTCCTACATGAAGGCTTTTTATTAAATTGTAAGAATAATTGGTGTATGCTGATATGGATTTTAACTGCAGGATCCCAAGGGCCTAATTCAAAAGAAAGCCTACAAAGTTCTTTCAATCATCTTGAAGGTATTGCTTTCTTCGCCTTAAGATTTCTTCGACTAGGGCATGTACATTGATTCCTTTCGTGCATAGTTGACTGATTTTATCCTTGCTTAAGTGTCTAAATCTTCATCGCCTGGATGCCATGATAATATTTTGTTTGTCCATAATATATGTGTACTTAGTTGCTTTATATCAAACAGTACATTACTGACAATAAGTTCTGTTCCCTATACACTGATGTTGTTTCTTAAGGTCCTTAAAAACCAATAAAGTCAGCTCTCTCATTTTACAAACTAATCTTGACTAATGTCTTTGGTTACAACTGCATCTGTTGCCAGAGTTCTGATGGATTTGTTTCAAAGAACCTCGAGGAGTTGCTTGAGCTGATGCACAATATATGCCATGTCTCTGCCAAGCGCCATAAACTTGATTGTTTATACTTCCTGTTAGCTCATGCATCAAGGACTGTAAGATGCTAAAGCTTATATAATTTATGTGTATTATGTCAAAATGTATCATGATTATGATGTAGGCTTTACAATTGTGTGGGTAAATAGTT